GCCTAACGGAACTTTGTTACGATGTTCTATACAAGAGTTTCGAACCTATAGGTTGCTGCGTTCCATTCGTAGTGTCTGCCAAGGAGACCCTAAGAGCGAGAAGAGAAGCAACAGTGGGACATCGATAGAAAACGTATCGCAGCAAATGACCTGATAACTGTAGCGGCGTTAACTACCACATGAACCACGAACTATACAAGCCATATGAAGACTCTATGCGCTGACAATGCTCGTGTTTCGACTAAGCATGTTTACTATTCGGCGCGAGCGGGAATGTGTTGAGTATAGAAGAAAACGAGAGCCGCACCTAGAGATTAAGTATCATCATCATGAGGATTAAGGTGTTCCGTTGAAGGGAAGACAGGCAGCTGGGGCCGTAGGTCTATTTCTTTACACACGTTCTCTAAAATTATGCGCTGGTGTTCTAAGATCGTGTACAATCAACTAGCCCGTCAACACGACCTAAGCGAATACTCTCAAATTCACGACTCATGATGGTTAAGAAATAAATAAGCGGCGTTGGGACAAAGGAGTACATGAGTGAATTGAGTGATTAATTATTTTTTAAACGGATGTCAGAAAACATCAGAGCAGAGTAATAGAATAACAATTCATTTACCAGTTTAAGCTTCAATATAAATACAAACACCCCAATAAGTATAAAAAAACATGCCGACGTTGTAAGGTGCATTTACATTTGCGCACAACTGTGACGGAATAAAAAAAAACACGTGTCTTTACATGAATCTTATCATGACAAATAACAGCCAAAATACATGGTGCTGAATTTTAGCGTATACCGCATGACAAGTAAAACGACACGGTGAAACATGGTCAGTAAATTTACAGCATTATTTTGCTGTAAATTCTACCATTCGAGCCGTCTATACCGCACTGACATTGCGAAACTGAGCATTCGGACAAATAAGCGTCTTGAACTTCGGCCACAAAACACTGAATACATGTATATAGGATATCTTGGTATGCCTTCTGTTGCCATGGGACCTCGCAGCACGGGCGGCGAAGTATTTTTCTCTCCAGCAACTCTCTTTTGCACATGGTGTGCCGTTTCTGCGGCACGCGTCTCTGTCGCTAGCCGATCGAATTACCCTTGTCGCTTTGTCCCATGCCGCTGCTGACTCCGCGGAGACACAAGAGGAAGGTCGAACGGAAAAGTGGGAATAAACGTGACAAGGCGATTTCGACACACTGTTACGGCGTCGACGTGTGCCCGACAGCACCGAATTAATAGCGAGACTTTCTTTTTCGCCATCTGATTTTCTTTTTTCTCCTTTTGCCCTTCCTGCAAGTGCTATCTCCTCCTCACCACTTATTTATTCATAAAAGACGTGGAATGCGAGCCCTAAGAGTAGAGCCAGTCAGGATTTGGCACTTTTCGACCACACGGTGTTACGTCCCCGCAGTCGCAAACGCAGAAGACAAATTGAAATCAGTTTATCGCGCGCAATAGCCTTTCGAGACAAGGCAGAACCGGCACACAACTGCATGGAAAACAGGATAGGCGACAATTCACAGCAGATATCTCTCGTACATCGAACAATCCAGAGCTTGTTTCATCCTGACGTCATGTGAATCAACAGCTCGTTTAGGGGCCCTTCAAGGCGAAAGCCTTAGGTGCCTATAACCGAATCCAAAACCTGACCGTTGGCGGCGTCGGCGTCAACACGGGGTGATGCATAAAGTCATCGTCGTCTTATTACGTCATGATGGCGTCACAAATCGCTGATATTCGTGACGTCACGTGACGTGACGTCATAGCGGCTTGTAGTATATATTGAAGTGCAAAGAGATTCTTCCTGCAACACCTCTGATCTTGGAGGCAATGCGAAAACCACGTTTGTAGGAGGGGGGGGGGGGATCAATGCGACCTAAATGAACAAAAAGCACATAGCTTTCGTGCGCCTTCGAGTCTTACGAGGCAGATGTCCAAGGCATCGCGTCGACAGTTCACGATAGATGTATATACAGCAGTTCAAGCCAATAGTTGCCACCACAACTTCTGTTCTTCCATCCAACAGTACAATGACCTCAGAACCGCCGTCCACGTGTACGGAATGGTTATGGCGGTCGTCGCCGTCATAACCACTCAAATTTAAGCACAGCGATTGAAGAGCTCGCCAATAAAAAAAAAAATGCCAATAAAAAAAAAAAAAAAAGATTGAAGAGCTCGGCTTCTCTCAGCAACATACCGCCGTCATCTTTATTCTTGCATGTAGACGCGTCCGATTCCAAGTGATTTTTTTTACATAAGCGTCAGCCTACTTTCTGACGATTGTCTCATCTCTTTCCATTTTTTTCCTTTCTCTTTCATCAACCAGAATTCTAGCATCGGGTTTAATACCCTGCACTAAGGGAACGAGGATTGGGGAAGAAAGATGAGAAATTAGGCGCAAAAAAAAAGAGAGGGGGGCTATAGCCTAATAAATAGGCCACTGCCGTGCTAAAAGTTCAATAAGGCCTTGACTCATCTGTACGAGGACAGATCGTGTCGGCATTCGATTGATTGATATGTGTGTTTAACGTCCCAAAACCACCATATGGCCATAGTGGAGGGCTCCGGAATTTCTGACCACCTGGGGTTCTTTAGCGTGCACCCAAATCTGAGCACACGGGCCTACAACATTTCCGCCTCCATCAGAAATGCAGCCGCCACAGTCGTGATTCGATCCGGCGACCTGCGGGTCAGCAGCCGAGTACCTTAGTGTCGGCATTCGAGCACTGACTGTTGTAACGAGGGTCTGTCGTCAAGGCGGGCTAACGCAACAGCTAGAGGCAGTCAGTGAGCGCTGTAGCGAGAGCACTGACACAGAACGTGGTAGGTCTATCGTTTCAAGCGGATACGGTTAATCCAAGCACCTTGGTCATTACATACGATAAAAATTGCAAATAAAATTGCAGTGCCTATACATCTAACAAAACTTTGCTGCTTAAATGTACGTGAATCTAATCAATATAATTATATACACCTTTTTTTTGCTTTAATATTGTCGTCAAGAGAGCGGCGATGTAGCACTTCACACGTATGGGTGACATGCCCAATTTTAAATATAGTTTTAATTTTGTCACGCTCGTCGAATAGTGTGGCATCCTCACTAAATATATGTCGGTCATCACGACAATTTTGTGGTTGCAACCTTGCGACCAGCAGAGGCGACTTCAGTCGCCTGGTTTGCACAAACGCAAAGACTTGGTTGCCAACGCCGGCACACCGTGAGAAACGTTACGACTGGGAGCATGGGTTCGCGCTCTCGAGACCTTTCCTAAATACCTGTGCTTCTTGAGATAAACGCAAAGCTTTCGTCACCTTTGATATGCGCAGCGGCGAACCTTGCCAACGGCCTCGGTCAGCCGTACTCGCTGCGCAGATAACGTTGCGTCACTCGCTCCGTGGCGTTTTCTCTTATGGTGCGTATAATCAAGATTACAACTTGTGCAGAGTTTGAAGTCTCGGGTTTGAATGCCAGCAGAAATGGCCGTTTTTAACAACAAAATCACACGTTTCACCTGCCAAGACCGCGATATTATTACGAGACACGCTGTAGTGGAGGGCCTTGGCAATTTCGTCCATCTGATGCTCCTTAACTTGCACTGACCTCGCTCAGTGCACGGGCCTCTATTAATTACGCCTCCACCAAAATACGGACTGCAGCGCCCGGCAACGAACCCGTGATCGTCGGATCAGCAACAGATCAGCATAACCACTGATCCACCAGGATGGACACAAGGCCGACTGTTGGTGTTGTGGATCAAATGCGAAAGCGAGAAAGCCTAGTCAGATTTCAGCGCTCATAAGCTTGTTCCTCGCGCTATGCTGGTGTATACCTTCTAGAATAACAGCAATCAATTAGCTATACATTTCGATTAAGTGCGCTGCAAGTGCCAGTGTCTTCTCGTGCACGCGCAGCAAGAGAACTTCCTGTGATAAAATATATAGCATTCATTTCCCGTGGCACGTACATTAACTTACCAGCAATTTTAATTGTGCCACATGTACAACGGTGTCTCTTATTGCAAAGACAACGTTACAGTTGCCAGCACCTCCACAAAAACTTGTACCAGTTGATCCTGCATGTGTATATTTCTCATGCCTTAATCTCATACCACAAGCTGCTTGTGTGTCACCTTTGGACGTGCTTCCGAAGATTTGACAGGCGATAGCTTAAATTGAGGACGACTCAGTGAGCGATAACAATTAAAATGATAGGGTAACCTTAAGAGACAAGAAGAGAGCAGAGTGAATCAGGGAACAAACCGGGGTTAAGGATATCGTAGTTTAAATCAAGAAGAAATGGACACGGGCTGGGCACGTAGCACGTGGGCAGGATAACCGCTGTTCATTAGCGGTAACTGACTAGATTCCCAGAGAATGCAAATGCACGAGGACAGACAGAAAGTTAGGTGGGCAGATGAGATTAGGAAGTTCTCGGATATAAAGTGGCATCAACAAGCACAGGACAGAGTTGACTGGCGGAACGTGGGAGATGCCATTGTCCTGCAGTTGGCGCAATCAGGCTGATCATGATGATTCTTTCTCGGGCAGCTACATTCTTCATACGCTGTCGGTACTGAGCGACCCGATCAAACATCGGATATATAGCGCAATGTCCTGCTCTCCTCTACCTATTTTTTTTTTTAATTCCAAGATTTTCACGCACGCATACTTTGCATTCATACCGTTTGCATGCGTCATTGGTGCATTCTTAAATTCATGTCGCGCTTCAACGTGCGCACGTATGCGCATGCGCTTGATATATACGTCATAGGCAGCAGGTCCGATACTCTGCGATGACTCGTCGACAGCTGCCGAAAGGCTGGCTTCCCTGCGCATGCGACACATTCTCTCGCGCGAAAAGGAAAGAGTGACGACGGAAAGAACGCGATTAAAAAGTGAGCGAGAGTGGAGAGAGGGCCTTGGATCTCGTCTGGCTCAGCTGTTCGCGCGCTTTCCTACCAGCCAGCGGCGGCGGCAGCTGCCAAGGGCCGAGCGGCAGCCTGGGCGTCCTTTTAAAGCAACGCCGACGCCTTCCGCCGCCGGCGCTAGCGACGTTCCCCTCGCGTCACACCACGCGCAGCAGCCGGGAAGTCAGACAGAACCGCAAGCTCCGTAACGTCAGGCGCCCCGTTCCCATGTGCGCCGTCTCCGGGCTTCCCTGGCAGCTGGGAACACCGTCACCGCGGCAGCTTACAGGACTTCGACGCGCTTCTTGGGCACGGCGATCCCGGGATCCTACCATTTCCTTCGGCCGGATCGCGACGTGCGACCGGCGTGCGGTCCGGGATCCCGACTGATTATCTTCTGGGAACTGTCGCAGTCGCCGCTTCGAGGGCCTCGTCACGGCGTCGACGTTTTCTGTCGAGGTCTTCCGCGACGCACCTTTGTGTCGGCAACCGAATCCTCACCGGCGTCGACCCTTTCCCGCCATCGGTCGGGTGTCCGGTGCTTCGTCGTGTTACTGCGAAGAAGGAGGGCAACACGTGACTGGTTTTTTTTTTTCTGCACCGCTTTGTTCTAGACGGGCGGCGTGCACGTGATTGTGTGCTTTTCGATCCCTTTCTGACTCTTCGTATTTATTTTTTTTACACGCCCTCACCTTCTTTTGCCATTGTGAAACTGAACTGAGCCGCTCTGTTTTGCTGCGGTTTTTCGATTACGAATCACCGGACATCGAATTTCCGCCTCTTCAAAATCGTCGCCGGCTTCGGGAGCGAGCGACTGCCACTGCACCGTCGCCCGTTCGACGCGCGAGTTGCCATTCGTCGGCGGCGACTGCTCGTTTCCAGTGGCGTCTGTTGAAGCTCGTCGACTGACTTCAACGCGTCTCGTCATCTTCGTTGCGGCTTACCCGCCCCTAACTCGGAACACTTTGTTGGCGCGCAGCGCTGTTGACGGAAGTGCTGTTCTAAAAAGACTCTGCGGCGGTCCATCGCCGATGAACGCTTTCTTTTGACGCGGGACTTCAACGCGGGACCTCAACGTCGGGAAAACATGGTGTTCGTGCTGAGTCCGAGTCGGCGCTTCAGCGGCAAGTGGCTGGTGAGTGTGGCAATGGCAGCTGTTGTTGTCTGGAATCGCCATTATCCTCATCCCAGTTCGTTTTCTCGCGTTGTTTCTAGTCTTGAGACATTTATACTTACGTAAGCAACAAACCGCAGAATAGCCGCGATTCCCGGCGCTTCATTTTTTTTTAGACACATTTTTCTCTTCCTTTTGGTGCAGACATTGCTTCGCATTCTTAACGGGCATGCTGACAGTGTACATAACTGTAGCCCCGCTTAGCTGTGCAGATTACTTATACACTTCTTTTTTTTTTTACAAGACCATTTTGATTTGCATGCTTTCATGGCAGTCTACTTGTTTGTTTGTTTTTCTCTGAGAAAAGAACGATTCAAAGAAAAAGAAAGTAAATGCAGCGCTGTAGAAACGGTTCACTCGTTAAACCAAGATATATAACAAGTACGCGAAGATAACTTGGCGATGCCATTGTGTTCATGGCGTTCCCCCAACGGGCTAGCTCGCTATAAAAGCAGTATAATCTTCTCGGCGTACTTGTGAAGCATTTAGACGTGCGACTTTGCAGCACGCACACTGTTTCGCTAGCTTATTATAATCCCCGAGATAATTTTCTCTAAGCAATACCGTCAGTGCGGCGTTTTGCGAAATGTTTGTTTCAACATATGACGACAGGAACGACGATAATGGTACTTCTCCTGAACATTAACGTAGACAAAACACCCAGCACTGCTCAGAGTATATTTAGGGAATCGTTGACAATATTTTTTCTTGACGTAATTTCTGAATGAATACACGATGTATAGAATATAGGACTTTTTTAAGCTGGGTACATCTTTGTCTTGTTTTAATAATCATGGTAAATCAGACACTTTGTGAGTTGGTAAACAAGTATACTATATGTTTTATTTCTTTAGTGTACTTCCTCTAATTACGCAGAAAAAAAACCTGATGGTTTGTTTTTCATGCGTTGGTAATCGATACAGATGCATTTCAAAAACACTAGAAGAATTTCGGTACTGCCATCTCTTCAATCCAATTATTTGTCTGTCTAATATTTTCATGTCTGTTTTGAACATGCGCTGTTTTCAGATCTTGAGGTAACGAAGCCACTATTCAAAGGCGGCGAAGGGGTCCCGTTGAGCGCTTAAATAGCTGATTCATATGTGGGGTTTAACGTGCCGAAACCACCATATGATTATCCCGCCTGCGGCGGCTGCATTTCCGATGGAGGCGGAAATGTTGTAGGCCCGTGTGCTCAGATTTGGGTGCACGTTAAAGAACCCCAGGTGGTCGAAATTTCCGGAGTCCTCCACTACGGCGTCTCTCATAATCATATAGTGGCTTTGGGACGTTAAACCCCACATATCAATCAATCAACCATATGATTATGAGAGACGCCATAGTGGAGGGCTCCGGAAATTTCAACCACCAGGGGTTCTTTAACGTGCACGCAAATCTGAGCTCACGGGCCCACAACATTTCCGCCTCCATCGGAAATGCAGCCGCTGCAGCTGGGATTCGGACCTGCGAGTCAGCAGCCGAGTACCTTATCCACTAGACCACCGCGGCGGGACAGCGCTGCAATATCATCGACCGGAAACCGAATGCATTGTATACGTAGCATATACTCTAGAGCGCATATTTTTCTTACACGCGCTGAACGGCCTTCACACTACATAAAGTATGCATTCATTCTACGTTAAACGCAGCTGTGTTTTCGCACTCTGAAAGAATATAGAGCGATACACGTGCGTGCAGTGTCAGTTTCACCCCAACGAGTGTAGTATATGCTGTCGAAAGAAAGGCAACGACAAAAAAAAAGTTAGTTGTCAGATAGCATTGCTATGCAGCTGTCGAAGCTTTCGAAACAATACACGAGAATGTTGTCGGCGATGTCTGACACTGTATATCAAGTGTCGGCACCCTCTCGAGGGCGCGATATGGATGGAGATAGAAAGAAAGCGAACACTGTGTATTCACTTCAGGCACGGTGTCCGTATTTGAGGGTATGACGTTTTCCCCACTTTTGAAAACATTTTTCCCATGTATACTTAAAACGACGTCCTCTAACGGGGTATGAAACGATTTCAGACGTAAAGTATGGACTGGTCTCTAAGGCAATGCGTTTTAATGGTCTCTAACCAGGTCACGTGACTTATGGTAGAATGATTGCTAATATAGGCTACCCGGTGGGAGGCGCGACGTACGTATAGAGTGGAGGGCGTCTCGGAATTCTCTCATGATAATAAACAATGTATGTGCATTCATACACCCGTCTGCTTCACATTAAGCCGTGGGCACTTAAGTAATTTGTTACACCAATGAGTACTATATGAACTGCTTCAATATTGTATTCATACAATAGCGAAGCTGGGCTCGGGCCTCTCGAGCGAGATTGTCTTCCCACTCCGCTTTTAATGAACCGCGACATAAAGCACTGCTTGTGCTTCGAAATTGTAATTAACTTCTTTAATATCAAAATACGCAGCATTGCTGACTTTAGAACTAATGCGTAACGACTCTTTAACTATGAAACTATGATGACTACAACTATACCACGTTGTCTAACCTGCAATAGAGTATGCAATGCTTTGGAATGAAGCTGGCCCCGCCCCGGGTGGTCTAGTGGCTAAGGTTCTCGGCTGCTGATCCGCAGGTCGCGGGATCGAATGCCGGCCTCGGCGGCTGCATTTTCAATGGCGTCGAAAATGCATGCTGTAGACCCGTGTGTTCAGATTTAAGTGCACGGTAAAGAAGCCCGCAGGTGGTCGAAATTTCCGGAGCCCTCGACTACGGCGTCTCTCATAATCATGTCGTAGTTTGGGGGGCATTAAACAACAATTTTTATCAAGCTCTGCTGCGTATCGGGCAACAGCAATGCCTCCTGCAGTCCCCGTGTGGGTGCTTCCCTGACCCGCGTCTGCGATTCGCTGCATAAACGTACAAGTATACACCCGAAAGCAAGCGTGTGTGAGCGCTCACGCGTGCCATGTGGATGCAGCACCCGGCGACATGTATGGGACACGTCGTGTCCAGTCCCAACCAGTTGGCGCCGCTTTCAAACGTCGTCGGGTTTAATCCGCACGTGCCGCAAAACTCTCGTATGCACTGTGTGTGTAGAAGTGGTTGTAAGCGCGCGAGATAATCGAGGAGGAGAGCCGCGGTGGCTTCAGGGTCGTTCCTGCCGATTAGTCTTCGCTCTTCACGCAAACTGGTTCACGCCAGTTTCGTTGCAGTTCGTCTAAAGAGAGAGCGCAGTGACAGCCAGCACCTTTTCATACGAGTGGCGGGAACACAGTCAGGTTGCTCTGAATCAAGCCAGCGCCGTGGTAATACAAAGGCGAAAAATAAAGTGGATTGAAGACTACGTAGTTTCATATAGTGCGAAACAGTAGAATTTGTAATGGTGCAAAAGATAAGACTGGTAAAAACACGCAGGTGCTTTTGTCGTATTTTGTTTTACTGGTTGCATTTGTCTCTCTTTTTTAAGCCGTTTAAAATTCGGGAAAAGGCAAACGACGTACACGAGGGCACGGCAAAGGCGAAAGATTTATCTGGAGAGTTGCTTGTTGGGTAAGCTGGTACGTACTTATAATTAACTGCAAAAGAAGCCACAAGACGTCGAATTTGAAAAAAAAAATAGCAGCAGAAACAGACACAGAGAGCACAGACGTGGCACTAGACGTGGTTATTGTCACGTCTGTGCTCTCTGACTTAGCTGCTCTGCTATTTTTCCGATTTGGACGTCTTGTGGCTTTTTTGTAGTTAACTAAGAAAAAAATTTGTCGACAGCTCAATTGATCCGTTGTAATTTAATAAAAGCAATCTTGTTTACAACAGTAGATACCAAAAATAAGCTATGCATTAGCAAATATTTAGCAATTATAAACATTATAGCCAACAATATACGCGAAAAAAACTAACAACTTGCTATTTTAGAGCTGCATGACGGCCTGGAAGAAAAGGAAGACTTATTTAAACGGTGACAACATAATCTTTGTAACTGTAATCGACTGCTTCATTGGGAACGTACAAAGTACGTGAATGGTTAGGGTAGAAAACAGGTAACAGCTGCAATTGGCTGCTTCGCTGAAAGACAATGACATACGGAAGTAATAACACGTTTTGCAATCGCAAATAAATGTTAGTTGTCAAAAGCACATGTGTGCATTGCAAAAGGCTTCTTTTTTTTCTGCGTTTGACAAAGAAGGAACGTAAAACATCGCCTCGTGATTACGTGAACTGTTCGGACTTAGTTTCATTGATCTGTTACTGCGAATTGCGGTGGATGTTGTTTCAATATTTCTTCTTTTGTTACGGAACTTGATGCGTAGTTTTGTGAAAATTCCCGATGAGTACAGCGTGTGTCTCTTTTTGAAGAGAAGGCCGGGCGAAAGTTCAGCGAGGTACTTCGAATGGTCTACAGTACAGCGTAACATTTTCTTATTTAATTGCTTACGTAAACTGTACAAGGCCATTGTTCGCAGATCCTTCCCTGTAGAAGGGTTCTAAATAAGTAGCTGAAAGAAAAAAAATAAGAGACGGATAAACAAACCACTAATCACTAATAGCCATCCCGCTTCACTTCGAAGATGGGGCGTTGACAGTGACAGCTAAATCTTAACGTTACACCAAGTTATGCACCTATACTTTCATGCGCAGTATAAATTTGAGTTAGCATTCAGTTTCTAACTAAACGTACGAGGTAACACACCAACCAACGACACACGCGAACGGATACCGCCTGATGGCCGTGCACTCTCCGTTGTAAAGCTGGCTTGATGAACGCCAGCGGTGAACGCTTCATGCTTCCGCTCCATCCATCATTTCAACTGCTTCGCACCTCTAAAACTGACCAGGTCACGTGATTGATTGATATGTGGACTTTAACGCCCCAAAACCAACACTGTCATGCAAAACATGCACGATGAAACAAAGTCGGCACCGAATCAAGCCTCTGTGTCTTTCTATAGGCTAGCAACGGAGCACGCAGGTCAAGGAAACGCTGGTCGCGCGTCCCC